CTCTCTCTCTCTCTCTCTCTCTCTCTCTCTCTCTCTCTCTCTCTCTCTCTCTCTCTCTCTCTCTCTCTCTCTCTCTCTCTCTCTGTGGCTGAGCTCATTTGTCCAGCCCTCCAGCCCAAGAACAGGTGGCCAAGTGCAAATTAAGCCCTCCAGCCCAAGAACAGGTACCTCCTGTTATCCTGCTTTCTGCTGGCTGTTTAGCTAGGAACACTGTCTATTGCCGCCTTTTTCTTTCCTCTTTTGTTTTTTGAACGGCCAGTCGATGCCTGTTGCGAAGAGCCTGCCTGACTTTCGCTCAGCTGGATGGAATATGGGGAGGTGGCAGATCACACAGCGAGTCTCGTCAATGAAAGAGTGAAAATCATGGATTGAAAATCACAGATTGAAAAGAGGTCGACAAAGTACGGTGACGGTGCAGAATGGAAACGGCGTCAAATGATAAAAAGATATGAAGGCACTGGAAAGGTGTTGCATACTAGTGAGTACATTCACCAGTATGGATCGACCAATATAGGATGAGCATATATGCAGTGGAAGTCTGAGATATGGACTGACTCACATAGACGGAACTTACCCAGACATCACGCAACACACAAGCAATCGTGAGATGGTGGGGTCTGAAGCCATACATAGACGATGCTTCAGCCCCGTACACCCATACACAGATGAATGGTGGGAGGAGAGACGATGGAGGTGGGAGATAGGGACAGCGCCAGATGTCACCGAAATAGAATCCAGAATGTCACCGATATGGTAGCCCAAAATGTCACCGAACAAAATCAGAATGTGGTTGACACAAGTCACCGATGTCGGAGATACAGAATCCTAGTATAACCGATGTCCGATCTGTGATGCCGCCAGGTATCAATCCCAAATATCTCCAAAGTCTCGAATCCGGTGAGTGTCACATCCTCCTACCACCGAAGTCCAATCACTGATCTCTGTCCAACTCGTATCAATAGTCTCCAGTCTGAAGAAGAAGAAGAAGAAGAAGAAGAAGATCCGAGAGGGGCAGAGGAGAAGTGGAGGCAGAGAGAAGAGAGAGAGGGGCGGAGGTGAGTCCTCCTGCCCGTGCCTTGCTGTCCAGGTCTTACCTGCGATGGCAAGGTGTGACCTTGGCGCTGCTGAAGGCCGGCGACGAAGACCGGAGCTATGGACGCTCCTGCAGGTAAGGCGGCCGCTCTTCCTCTAACCTCCACTGCGCTAATCTGCGCTGCCTCATGCTGATGCACTGAGCGCTTGCGCTACTAAACTTAGCGCAGCGCTACCTCACTGCTGCGTTCCTCCAACAGTCCCTCCTGAACAGACCGCTGCTGGGTACTAAGTACCGTGGTGGCCTGTTCGGCCTTCCTGCTGCGAAACAGCGCTGTGATCTGAACCGTCAGATCCGGTTGCTGATCTGCGGTTTCAGATCGGCCTAGCGGGCGGCAGCCTCAAGGGCGCCGCCGGTCCAAACGGTGGTATTGTTTGGAACGTGTCCACCTGGGCCTGCGCGACGGGGCCTACCGGGCGGCCTTCCGCATAAAGGTCCAGCCTTTGGACCAGACCGGCCTGGACTATCGTGTACAGGCCTGTGGTACCCCCTAGGCCTAGTGGTCCGGCCCACCCATGTGAAATGCAGTATGTAACACACTCCCCCCCTTAAAAGACCGAGCTATCTGCGAGGCCGAAGTTGTCTGTCCGATACCTGGGTGGGTCGGGTGGGACAAACTCTGTCCTTGGCAAGTCGCCGGTTCTTGTATTCAGAGAAGATGAGTGGTGCAGATGCTTGTAAGTCTGCGCGGGAGATGCAGCGAGTGTCATCAGGTGCACATCGCTTGAATGTGACTTTGTATTGCATTGGCTTGTTGCCAAACTTGTGATGCATGATGACACGGTCAACTTCCTCGTGTTCGTCCATAGAGGGCGGATCTTGTGATCGTCTGCCCGGGAACTCATCCTCAGATGGTGGCGTATACACGACAAGCTTTGATGCATGGAAGACCGGGTGCACGCGGAGGTCTGGTGGAATGGCAATCACAAAGGAAGGGCCAGCAGCGTCGTTGCCTGCTGCGGAAATTGCCTTCCATGGTCCAAACCATTTCGGGAGGAGTTTGCGCGAGACGTCCTGTTCCAGCGCGAATTCCTCGGCAAGGACCCAAACAAGGTCTCCCTCGCGGAAAGGACATGGGAGTCGACGTCGGTTAGCTTGCTGCTGCATGCGGATTTGAGCCTTTTGCATATTGCTCGGGCTTTGATCAGCAGGTCCCGGTACTTCCGAACGGAAGCGGGAGAGCAAGTGACGTCGATGTCGGCGGCTCGTGGTAGGAGAAGATCGGCAAAGACTCGGGCTTTCTCTCCACCGTGATGCAACTCGAATGGAGTGATGCAGATCGCCGGGTGCACTGTTATAGGCGAACTCGATGTCTGGAAGCCGGTCAACCCAATCTTTCTGGTCAGGGCTGATGAGTCTACGCAACATCATTTGAGCGGTTTGATGCGCTCATGCCATCTGCCCATCCGTCTGCGGGTGCCGTGCGGAACTCGGCTTCATAGTCGAACCGGACTCCGCCATGAGGGAAGTCCAAAAGGTTGACATAAAGCGAGTGTCTCTGTCCCTCACAATGTCCTGCTCACAATGTCTTCCAGAACACCGTGGCAGGTAATCCAGCCGGTGTGCAAGAGTCGTGCGAGCTCGTGGGCTGTAGCATGATACTGGCATGGAAGAAAACGAGCGTACTTGCTCAAACGGTCAACGACCGTGAGGATGTCGTCATGACCGAGGCGATCGCGAGGGAACGGGCCTGTAACATCCATAGCAATAGAGAGGCGAGGTGGCCGAGGAATCGACAACGGTTTCAGTTCGCCATTAGGGACCTGAGATCTACCTTTGTTACGATGGCAAACTGCGTATGACTCGATGTACCTCGTGACGTCGCGGAGAACGCCAGGCCAATGAAAACGCTGGTGGAGGCGGGCCAATGTGCGGGTCACGCCAAGGTGTGCCGAAAGTCGTGCGTCATGGAATTTGCCAAGGAGGCGAGTGCGTAAGATGTGATCTTGGGGCACCACTAACAAGTCCTTTCCTCTCATGTGGAGTAGGAGGAACCCGTCGAAGATACGATAGTGACCAGCCGATGGTTGATCCGACGAGAGTTCCGCGTATAGCGTGGAGTACGTCGGGTCGGACTTGTAGCCGTTGACGAAGTGCTGCTGCAGGTCGTCGTCGAGCTGGATCATCGTAGTCACTAGGGCACAAAAATCGGGCCGTCATGAGAGGGCGTCCGCTGCTCGGTTGGCGGCCCGGGGATGTGGCATGGGTCAAAGTCGAAGTGGTCGATGTAATACATCCATCGGCCGATCGTGCTAGTGACCGTGTCCTGCGTTTTGTAGTAGGTCAACGGATTGTTGTCCGTGTTCCATCTAAAACGTAGAGGACCGAGAAGAAAGTGGCGCCACCGTTTGAGAACGATGACAAACGCGAGTAACTCTTTCTTCCTAGCGTCATCGAGAGAGTTCACGAGAGGCACCTTTTGGGAGAAGTACTCGACCGGGTGCCAATCGTCCGGGTGGCATTGTTCTAACACCGCAGCAATACCATATCCAGAAGCTCCATAGTCACTTGGGTGGGTAGGGTGGGGTCATACATACGGAGGGCCGGCGCGGCTTGCATCGCTGCCTTCAACGTATTGAACGCGCCACGAGCTGCGTCGTCGAACTCAAATGGTACCTTCGGGGACTGAAGTCTCGACAAAGGGGCTGCCACTTTGGAGTGAGACTCGACGATGCGCTGATAGTATCCAGCCAAACCCATGAAAGAGCGTACGTCCGTCATGCAACGGGGTTCCGGCCAATCCACGATGGCTTGAATCTTGTCCGCTAAGGGACGAATGCCTTTCAACGTCACATAATGGCCCAAGTACTCAAGCTCTTGTTTGGCAAATTCGCACTTGTGGTTTGCTTTGTACTTGGCTGCTCGCAAGCGATCCAAAACCGCACGAAGGTGTACAAGGTGCTCGTCAAGTGTCCAACTATAGACCAAGATATCATTGAGGTAGATGAGGACGGTACGATTGAGCAAGTCTCGGAATTCCGTCGTCATGATTGCTTGGAAGGTTGTCGGGGCATTGGTGAGTCCAAATGGCATCACGACCACTCAAAATGCCCATATCGTGTTTTGAAGGTGGTCTTGTACCGGTCTTGAGGCTGGATTTCGATCTGATGGTAAACTGACTTCAAGTCCAACTTCGAGAAGTACGTCGTGTCGCCCAACCGCTCAAGGAGATCATCGATCCGAGGGAGAGGGCCGACATTCTTTACGGTTTGTGCGTTAAGTTTTCTATAGTCAATGCACAACCGTAGGTCGTTGTTCTTCTTCCGGACGAAGAGAACCGGTGCACCGTATGGCGAACAACTAGGGTGAACCAGCCTTTGTCGAGGAGGTTGTCGAGTTGTGCGCGAAGCACCTTGAGTTCCTCTTCGCTCATGCGGTAGATGCATCCACACGGACGGACGGCACCATCCTCGAGAGTAATCCCGTGACGTATGGGCCGATCCGGAACCGTTCCGGTGGGAGCCTCGAAGACCTATATCCATCTAAGAGGTGAGTAATGCGTGGGTCCGGCGGCGACGCGGCTGGTCCGTCCGTTGAGGGAAGAGGGAAGACCTATATCCATCTCCTCTACGTCATTCCGAGCTATGGCTTCGTGAATCCTCACAATGGAAACTACGTGACAAGCAATCGAAGTGTGAGGAGTTGCGACCGTGCACGAGACTAACACTCCGTTTCGATCACGGACGTGAACGGTTCAGTCGTGAAAGTTTACCGGATGGTCGACGTTACGCAACCAAGACATGGCTAGAATCATGTTGAACTTGGTGTCGAGGATGTCGAAAGACACCGGCTCGCACGCAAGGGGCGCAAAGTACACCAGAACGCCGTCAACGCACAAGTGTGACTTGTGTAGGTTGTGTCTTCTTTCGAACGTGAGGGCCGAGGCCTGCGCGGGCCATAAAGGCTTGGCTCATAAAGTTGCAAGACGCTCCGCAATCAATCAAGGCACTGCAGGTGGCCTTTCCAATTTGAATGCTGATATAGAGCAAAGGAGCGTCGGTCTCAACGTACCTTTGGGTGGCGTACTCGCGGTCAGTCTTCACAAGATAGGAGCGGAGATCGACAACTGCTACTCCGTTGGCCGTCAACAGAGCTGGTACTGCAGCGTGCAAGTAGGAGCGTAGATATGCCATCAAGGCGTTACAATGCGGCTTTGGCAAGGATCCGGACGAGGGTAGAGGCATCCAAGAGAAGTCCTCTCTCGTGAGCGGGTCGAGGTCCTCAAGCCTTGACCACGCCGTCGAGTCCTCGGAAATAAGTGGCGAACTGAACGGTTCTCTTGCCGACGGTGTACAAGTTACGCATACGCTATCTAAGTGCATGTGGCTAGGCTGGTCCAATGGTGGCACCAGCTGGGCGGCATAATCCTCGTATGTGTCAAGAGAATCAGCGACTAACGCATGCTCCCCGACAGTGATATTGGTTGTTAGCAAGGCAACCGGTTTCGGCGGAGTGTGGAGAGGCGTCGCTCCTCTCCGTGCGCAACTCAGTTTCCCGAGTTAGCTGGACGAGGTACCTTTGCCTTGCCCTTGTCCGGTCATTCTGCAGTAGTGTGGTTTACATTGTTGCACCAAAAACAATACCCATACTGTTGTCGAAGTTCAAAAACTTCCTTGGTGATGTTGTAAGCCGTCCATGGTTGCTGCCCAGTCTCCGTCGCTGTCGTCCCTTGAGTTGCCTTGTTCTTCCGAACCCTTTTAGGACGTTTTGGCGGGAGCGCTGCGACAACTCCTCCATCACTCGAGGAGGCTGCTGCAGCGTGGAGATCAGGTGATCCGTCAACGATCACCGCATTGTTATGGGCCGGCCTTTGGTAGCCTTGCTTAGCCACATATTGTGGCTGGGACTGCCTTTTGTTGGCGGCCTTGTCATCCGTTTGGATGACCAGGTTAGCACGGTCAAGGATGGACTTGAATGAGGCATAGTCGTACTCGTTACCCAGTGCCGACCGCAGTCCTGCGCACAATCGCGAAAAGAATTCGGATCGCAGGTTTGGGAAACTTAAGTCGAAACCAGGAGTGGTTACTATCTTCTGCCACTTGATCGTCCAGTCTCGTGTTGACATGTTCCCTTGTGAGCGGGAGTAGACGTCGTTCATGGCCGCCTTTACTACATTGCGGACCATGAATCGAGTGTACCATATTTGCTCGAGCTGCTCCCACGTGATGTGCGTGTGCAGGTTGGCGATGGTGGTTCCCAGATTTGCCGCTGTGTGGTTCATGAATGCCTGTGCTCGTCCAATGAGTTGGAGGTAGAGTGCTGTCATTACCAGGTCGTCCGGCACTTGGTGGCAGGCTGCTTCAGTGACGAAGGCTTGCCACCATGCCAATGCATCTGTTTTGTTGTAGTCGTCGAACTTGGCGATGTTGAAGCGTAGCATCTTGAATGTCTTCGCGGCGGCTTCCGGTCGTGACTGCAGTTTGGTGATGTCCGTCTTGATGGCGGCCACCGTGCTGCTGATCGTGGCCGGACTGGTAAAGTCACCCAGGTTGCCGATGATGTTGACGACATGGCCGATGCGCTCTCCGAGCTGCTTCGTCATGTCCGTCGTGCAGCCGGGCGCTGCTGAGGGCTTAGCCTTGATGTTGTTGACGCTTGTGATAGTGGATGCCAACAACTGTTGCTGTTGTTGCTGATGTTGTGCTGCTGCGCGGATGGCAACTGTCAAAGTTGAAGACTCTCTCTGCTGAGTCTGTTTCAGCTGCCGTCCAGTGTGCACGTGCACTGTCTGCATCGTGTTGTTCCACATTACCGCCCTCATCATACACAGAATTAAGTTAGCCAGGTTACTCCTTTCCACCTCCGCCAGTGTCGGATCCGCCTGTTCGTCCGTAGGCACAAAGGTCATGCCTTGGAGTAGTGCTGTCCACTGATTCTCATTCTGAATCAAGAACTCAGCGCTGGCGGCGTTCCGTTTGTCTTGAGCTGTTGCGTCAGCCTTAGCAGTCCGCTGAGCTTGGGCTGCCGCCTCATGGGCAAGCCGCTGACGTTCTGCTTCTGCTGCCTCTTGCTGTGCCTTTGCTGTGGCGGCGGCATCTGTGATGCGTGAACCCGCTGAAGGTAAGCTGCCAAAGTCTCATGGTCCCCTTGGACCAGACAGGCGGGGAGGATCCCTGTGGTGACCGGTACTGCAGCTGCTGCATTGGTACTGGATGCCGCTGGAGTCGTTCTCCTGCTGAGTCGTTGTTGCTGATACTTAGGCTGTGGAGGTAGCACAGAGTGGCTACGAACTGTGATCCTGGCACTGCGTCGTGGCAGTGCCCCGGTGTCCTGTTCCGTCGACATCAGCACGGGCTGATGTGGTACTTGGAGATCTCGGTGGTCACAGACACGGGGAGGGCAGGGAGGGTGGGAACAGGGGTAGAACAGATCAAACAAACAACATACAGTGTTACATACTCCAATGAGTATGGGCAGAACCAAGAATCAACCAATATAGGATGAGTTTTTATGCAGTGGAAGTCTTATAACGAACTGACTCACATAGACTGACTCACATAGACTGACCTACATGGCATCACTCCACACACATACAATCATGAGATGGTGGGGTCTGGGTCATGCATAGAAGATACCCAGATCCCGTACACGCATGCACAGATGAAAGGTGGGAGGAGAGACGAAGGAGGTAGGAGGTAGATCACACCGATAGGTCACAAGATAGGGTCCGGTAGGTCTCCGAAGTAGTAGTCCAAAATGTCATACAACAAGATCAAAATGTCGAGGACCAAAGGTCACCAATGTCGGAGATAACCGAGTCCAGATGTAACCGGTGTCCAACTGCGATGTAGCCGAGTATCAACCTCAACAATCTCCAAGTCTCCAATCAGGTAAGTACCACAGTCTCGTATCACCGAAATCCAACCCTGATCTCTGTCCAACTGGGTAGTCTCCAATCTGAAGAAGAAGAAGAAGAAGAAGAAGAAGAAGAAGAAGAAGGAGAAGAAGAAGAAGAAGGAGAAGAAGAGGAGAGAGAGAGAGAGGGGACTGGCGAGGGAGAGGAGGAGAGATCCTCCAAGCTCCCGGTACCTCAGGCGGCAATGGCCGCCGTGCTGGTTCAGTCGCCCTGCTGCTGCTCCGCTTGCTGCTGCGCTAAGCTGCGCTATGCTGCGCTCCTGCTTCAGCCCCTGCGCTAAGTTTAGCGC